CACTCCAGCCTGGGCAACACAGCAAGACTCTGTCTCAGAAACAAAACAACAACAAAAAAGAATAATCACAAACACACAGAGAGAGAAAGAGGCTTTTCTGAGGCGACACAGCTCTTCTAACAGGTCCTGGGATATGTGCCTCAGGCTGGCCTGGGCTGGGTCCCCTGGGGGACATGGCTCCTTGCAGACTGAGAAAAACCATTCTGGGTAGAGAACCGGGTAGAGTGGCGAGGAGGTGAGGGGGACGGCGGGCATGGACACTTAGTCTGGCACCCACCTGCAGTCTTGGGTGGATAGCAGCCATGTCCTCTCCCATCCCAGGCTGGGAAACAGCTGAAGGACGCGCAATGCTGACCAGGCCTCTGCTGGGTGCTCTGTGGTCCCCAGCCCCAACCCTGACTTCTTGAAGGCCATGGGCATCCTTCCCATCTCAGCCCGTTCAGGGCCCAGCTCAGGAAGGCCAAAGGGTTGGGTACCAGCTCCTCTGCCTACCTTCTGTGTGATCTTGGACAAGCCACTGCCCCTCTCTGAGCCTGGCAGAAGAATGACCACTGCCATGTGCCGGGTACTTTCCCTGTTTCATTTCTTTTTGACATCAGCCCCAAGAGGCAGGCCCTGTTATCCCTTTTTACGGAGTCAGAAACTGAGGCTCACCAAGGTTAAGTGACTTGCTCAAGGGCGCATAGGCATTAAGTAGCAAAGCTAGGATTTGAATCCAGGTGGCCTGGCCCCCAGACTCAAGTGCTTTGAATGCTCCCTGCTACCCTCTCTTTGTTGAAAATCTGGGGCCAGGGAAACTAACAGAGATGAGAAATATGGCTCCATTACTGGCAGGCTCTGGAATGTGGTTGCAGCCACCTTGGCTCAAGGGAGCCCAGCCCCAGTCCCCAGGGCCCTTTGATTCTATGGGGATCCAGGGCTGCACTTCAGGGCCCTTTCCTAGGGGAAGCCCCACAGGGCAAAGGAGACTCCCAGCCAGTGGTCTTTCTGGAGGAGGTTTGAGAGGTGTGGGGGTGGCCAGGAAGGCATTAGGGAGGAGGGGAGGCCTGGAGAGGGCACCTTGAGGATTCCAGGCTCTGATGGGTCCCTCCCTCTTGACAAAGGCACCACATTCACCCGAAGACTGCTGCTTGGGACAGGCAGGGGTGACCCAAGGATCCTTAACGCTCTACGCTCAGCGCGCCTGGGATACAGGGCAGGCTGCACCCAAGGCTGGGCCGGGTGGTTTCAGCTCATTCCCCCAAGAATGGCCACCCCTTGGACAGCTCCAGCCCACCCTTTGAACCGTGCTCCTAGCCCTACCACCAGGACAGGCCTCTCATCCCACGGTGTGGTCGCTGGGGTCGGGGAAATGCCTCTGGAATCCCCTCCCCCAATACAGGACCCAGTCCACCCGGCCTGGGAATGTGCTCTGTTCCCTCCGGGCAGGAAATGTGCCCCAATCTGGGAGGAAATGGCTCAGCTAGGTGGGCACAGGGCCAGCCCTCGCTGGACCCAGACTGGGCTCTGGGTTCCAAGCAGGGGCCAGTGTTTCTGCTGGAATGTGCTTCAGCCTCTCGATCGCTGGCACAGCCTGGGCCCCATTAGGGACAGGACCAGGAGGGGACTGGACTCAGCAGTCCTTTCCTTTTTATGGGCACAGGGATTGTTTTCCAAACAAAAATCAGGACACGTGGGCTGGAATAGCATTCTTTTCTTATCGAAATATTTTCGTGAAAATACTCACAGGGGCATAAAATGAGCTCACTCTAAATGAGGCATTTAGCAAATCTCCACACCAAATGGAGAAAAATAGGCCTGAAGTCCAGCAGGCATAGGACAATTCAAATTGTGTGGTCTGGGCAAAGCATGAGACTGGGACCAGTACCTCATGGGGACCCTAAGAGCCTGACCCCTGGGCCCTGACCTCCAGGACCAAGATCCTAGGGTCAGGGCAACATCGTGCTGAAGAGGTTGGGGACCAGTGTCCCTAGGCCCTGCGTAAAGTGGGTAGTGACCCCTGGGTGGCTGGGATTGGGGTAAGCTGGCCTCCCCGTCCTAAGCCCCCTACTTCTGGCTTTTCTGAGCTCTGGCATTTTCTTTCTGAGGCCTTGCATTTCTTCACCCATTCATTCATTCATTCAGTAAGTCATCACTGAGTAGCTGCGTGGAGCCAGGCATTAGGCTGGCATTGGGGATGCTGGGAGGAGTAAGGGAGGTTCCCCTCCACAAAATGTGCAAAGAAAAGTAAAGCCGGAGGCTGGGTGTGGTGGCTCAAGCCTGTAATCTCAGCATTTCGGGAGGCTGAGGCGGGTGGATCGCTTGAGGCCAGGAGTTCGAGACCAGCCTGACTAACATGGAGAAACACCGGATCTACTAAAAATACAAAATTAGCTGGGTGTGGTGGCGCATGCCTGTAATCCCAGCTACTTGGGAGGCTGAGGCAGGAGAATCGCTTGAACCCGAGAGGCGGAGGTTGTAGTGAACTGAGATCATGCCGCTGCACTTCAGCCGGACATCAGAGTGAGACTCTGTCTCAAAACAAACAAACAAACAAAATTAAAGCCGGGTCAGGGGACAGAGTGACGACGGGGGGTGGGTGGGGAGGGCAGGAGTGACAGAAGGTGTATTTGTTATCTACAGCTGCGTTACAAATTACCCCCAAACTTGAAGAGTTTAAAACAACAGACATTGATCGTCTTACTCTTTCTGTGGGTCAGGGATCCGGGTGCTGCTGAGCCAGGTCCTATGTCTCAGGGCTGCTGTCAAGGTGTCACCGAGGCTGTGGAGTCATCTTAAGGCCCAGGCCTCCCTTCTTCCTTGCCACTTGGGCCTCCTGCAGGGCAGCCCTACAGGGTGGCAGCTGGCTTTCCTCAGAGCCGGCCAGGGACAGGGGTGGAGGACAAGCAAGCCCACGCTGCTGCCGTCTTTTGTCTCAATGCTGAAAGTGACATCCTATTGTTTTGGTCACAGTCTATCGCTGAGGAGAGGTCCCCAGGTCCCACCCACCCGAGGGGAGGGCATGGATCCCAGGAGGTGGGGATCCTGGGGGCATCTCAGAAGCTGCCGTCCACGGAGGGCTCCTGTGAGGAGGGGGCATTGGAGCAGAGACCTGAACAGAGTCAGGGGACAACCAAGCAAACAGCGGAGGGAAGAACTTCCCAGCTCAGCAAGGGCCTTGTGGCAGGAACAGGCCAGGGGATTTAGGAAGGTGGTGGAGCTTGCAGTGAGCTGAGATCGCGCCACTGCACTCCAGCCTGGGTGACAGAGCGAGACTCCATCTCAAAAAATAAATAAATAAATAAAACAGCTGGGCATGTGCCTGTACACTCAGCTGCTCAGGAGGCTGAGGTGGGAGGATCACTTGGGTCCAGGAGGTGGAGGCTGCAGTGAACCATAATCACACCATTGCACTCCAGCCTGGGTGATAGAGCAAGATCCCATCTCAAAATAAAATAAAATAAAAACAGCGAGGCAGATCCAATTTTAAGGACTCCCTTTAGGAAAAATAATACAGAATTCGTATGAAAGTGACTATTTTTTTGGGGTGGGGGGGAGAACAGAGCCTCACTATGTTGCCCAGGCTGGAGTGCAATGGCACGATCTCAGCTCACTGCAACCTCCGCCTCCTGAGTTCAAGCGATTATCCTGCATCAGCCTACTGAGTACCTGGGATTACAGGTGCACACTACCACGACTGGCTAATTTTTGTATTTTTAGTAGAGACAGGGTTTCACCATGTTGGCCAGGATGGTCTCGAACTCCTGACGTCAGGTGATCCGCCCACCTTAGCCTCCCAAAATGGTGGGATTACAGGCTTGAGCCACTGTGCCTGGCCAAAAGTGACTATTTAGAACAAGGAAAAAAAGCACAACAAATGAGTGCAGACTTGGAGATTTGGGTCCTTCTTCTGATGTCTCCCTGGACAGTTTGCTAGGCGTGCTTCATGGACATGCTTCCTGAGTGAAACCGGCTTCCCTCCTTGTCTAGAACACTCTGTAACTCCGAGCAACTCCCAGCCTTCACAGGGGCCATGGAAGTAAGGCCATGAGCATAAGTTTTATTAACTTCACAATAAGCCCACCTCTGGCTAAGAGAGAAGAGGGGGAGACCCACAGGGCAATGGCAGGTTCCAGGCCACGTTGTGCTTTAGTAAGGAGAAGGCTCAGGGTTTAAGGGTGTGGAGATAGATCAGCAAGGGCGGATGGTGGGATAGATGCTGCTGGGAGCGGAGGATCCCAGTGGGATGGGGGCTCAAGAGGGGGCTGGGATCAGTGAGGGTTTGGGGCTGGCTCAGAGACCCTCCCAAATAAGGGGCAGAGGGACCCTGACTGGCAAGGCCTAGGGCGAGGAGGGGCCCCCTCAGTCCACTGAGCCTCAGGCCCCTCCTTGGCCTCTCCCACACTTCTCACCCTCCTCACCCTGGAGCCTGTGCTGATTTGCTGAGTGGACGGCCTGGCCGTGGGAACCAGCACGCCTGGTCAGAGCCAGTTCAGGCCCCTAAACCTGAGGGGGATTAACACCCAGACAATATTGTCACAGCCAGGTCTTGGGAAGCTGGGATCTGCCTGGGTGAGGAAGTTGGACACAGGATTGGAGCCTGAGAGTGGACACCATGTGGCTCTAGCTGTGGCCTGGTCAATTCCCACTTGACTTTTTTTCCTTTTTTCTTTTTTGGCGGAGTCTCCTGTTGTCTAGGCTGGAGTGTAGTGGCATGATCTCGGCTCACTGCAACCTCCACCTCCAGGGTTCAAGCAATTCTCCTGCCTCAGCCTCCCGAGTAGTGGGGATTACAGGCGCCTGCCACCACGCCGAGCTAATTTTTTTTTTTTGAGACAGAGTTTGGCTCTTGTCACCCAGGCTGGAGTGCAGTGGTGCGATCTTAGCTCACTGCAACCTCTGCCTCCCAGGTTCAAGCAATTCTCCTGCCTCAGCCTCCTGAGTACCTGGGATTACAGGCGCCTGCCACCATGCCTGGCTAATTTTTATATTTCTAGTAGAGACAGGGTTTGGACATGTTGGCCAGGCTGGTTTTAAACTCCTGACCTCAAATGATCTGCCTGCCTTGGCCTCCCAAAGTGCTGTGATTATAGGCGTGAGCCACTGTACCCAGCCTCATGACTATTTATTTAGAACAAAGAGAAAAAGCGCAACAAATAACTGGAGAAACACAATTTTAACTGGTTTAAGAAAAAGTAAGGGCCAGGCACAGTGGCTCACGCCTGTAATCCCAGCACTTTGGGAGGCCGAGGTGGGCGGATCACGAGGTCAGGAGATCAAGACCATCCTGGCTAACATGATGAAACCCCATCTCTACTAAAAAAAAAATACAAAAAAATTAGCCAGGCATGGTGGCGTGCGCCTGTAGTCCCAGCTGCTGGGGAGGCTGAGGCAGGAAATCACACCACTGCACTCCAGCCTGAGTGACAGAGCAAGACTCTGTCTCAAAAAAAAAAAAAAAAAAAAAAAAAAGAAAAAGTAAGGGAGCCCATAGTTGTACTCCAGTCTGGGTGACAGAGCAAGACTCTGTCTCAAAAGAATAAAAAATAAAAAGTAAGGGGAAAAAAATGCATTGACTCTGGAGGTCTGGTAGTAGGATTGCAGGCATGGCTGGATCCAGCAGCTTAAGTGATGAAATCAGTTATCTTTCTTTCTCTATCTCTTTGCTCTGCTGTCCTCTGTGGTGGTCCAAGTGAGGGGCAAAAGTGGTGTCAAGCTTGTATTCTGCCAGTCAACAAGCCCAGAGAGCTTATTTTAGAACAGTCACCATGATTGGCTAGACATGGGTCATGTATACATACGTCTGCAGAGCCAGGGGATGTAGGAGTCCCATCTTAACCCCAGGCACTGAGAGTGGAAGAGAGGTTCCCCAAACAGAAACTGAGTGGTTATCAGAATCAGGGAAAGCAGTGCTGGGCTATCAGGAGCCATGGATGTTCCTTGGATTCTCTTGCAGGACAAAGTCACGTCCTTCCCTTCCCTTCCCTTCAGCACTTTGTCCCTCTTACTAAAACTTCTATCCTTTATCTGGTGGGGAGAGCAAAGGAATTCATCTTTGAACACCTACGGAGCACCAGGTATTTTTACCCACATTTACCCCACCAGATTATCGCTATGAAGCCACAAGGGACAAACCTGGGTTTGCAACCCCTCTTTTGCAAGAAGAAACTGAGGCCCAGAAAGACGTGATTTGCCCAAGGTTTGCAAATGGCAGAGCTGGAATCGCTTCCAGACACTGATGTTACAGCTCTATCTGTGTCCCCATCTGACCCAGCCACCATGGGGGAGCTCCCTTTTCTCTATGCTCCTCCTCTCCCTGCCCTGCCTAGCACAGGGCCCCACACACAGCAGCACCCAGGAAATAAGCATTGGACTGACCTGACTCCAAGCAGGTAGGGTGGAGGATGGGGGATGGAGGAAGAAGCTGGGAGGCCCAAGGGGCTTCCGAGGCTGTCTGCCAAGCTGATGTCTGACCTTGAAAGCCCAAGTTTTCCTCTCTGCCCCCTTTCCCTGGGAATATTCGTCCCTATTCTCACACTGGCTCCTCCCCATCTCAACTTAACCCTCACCTCCTCAAAGAGGTTTTCCCATCCCCACTTCACCCCCACCCACCCCCTTTTGTCTCAGACCCTTGTCCATTCCTTCATAGCACATTTTACTATTGGTTATTATGATGTTAATTTACTTTATGGTTTGCTCCACCCAACCTCCCTGTAAGGTCTGTGGGGACAAGGACTGATCATGTCTGATTTGATCCTGTCGTCTCCTTGACTCATGCATTGCACACAGTGGGTGCCCGGCCAGTGTCCGCTCAGTCAAAGCTCTCCACTGTGGAGGTACCACCCCCGCCCTGGCAAGCCCTCAAACCTCTCTGCCACCCCTTCCCTGCCACTCAGGGTCTCAGCTGCCACCATCGTAATAGAAGATTGAGCCCCTTGCCTGCTGGGGCCATATGAGGGAGAAGAAAGCCCTTGTGAGCCTGGCAGGGAGGGTGGAGGGCAGCAGAGCCTCTGAGCTGGCAGACAAAGGGCGTGTGTTCTCGTCCAGGGCACTTCCTGGGTTTCCATTGCAGGAAGTTTGGCACCTGCCGATCGGTGACATCGACACCCGGGCTGCTGCGGGCCAGGTCGAACCCCTCCAGCCGGGAGCAGTGGTGGTGGTGGAACAGGCGGCCTGGGGTGCTGGAGGCAGGTAAGCAGAGGTGGTTGGACCCCTCATTCCCCTTGGGCTGTCCCAGAGCAGATGTGGGAAGCCTGGGTCCTAGACTAAGTCAGCCTGACCTTGAACAAGGCCCCAAATCAACCCTTCGTTGCCTCACTATCCCACCTGGGGGTACAACAGGTGGTTCAGGGGATGTCATGGAGGTGAGGGCAGGCAGCTCTACTTTTATTTCTTCAATAAACTTTTGGGTCACTAAGTACTTGTAAAGGGGTTCTACAGCCAAAGGCGCCTGAAAACCCCCAGCTTGCACCTTCCTCCTTTGCGTGCTTCCTGTCTCTGGCGTTCAGTGTTTCCCTCCCGGTGGAGGGTATGGGGAAGTCTCCTCCAAAGAATGCTGCAAAGCTGAGGTTTTGTGGGGGGTGCGGGGGCAGGATATCACTGCCAAGCCAGGAATGAGCCAAGCGGGGACTCAGCCTTGAGTTCCAGCCTCGCCCTGCAGCACAGAACTCTCATCACCTCCAAGCCCCGGCTTCCGAATCTGTAAAGGGTGGCAGTGGTACCTGTTCCTGAGACTAGCAGAGCTGTGTGCCCAGGGACACAGTGGCTCTGGTTTGAATCTGGCTCTGTCATTTGCCCCTAGTGTGGCCTTGAGCCTCTCTGGGCCTCAGTGTCCTTGACTGTGAACAGGAATCACCAGCCCTGGCGCCCAGGGCTCTTGTGGGATTAGGATGGGGATGAGGATGGGTCCCCGCACCTAGAAAGCCCCTGTCAATGGCAGCCGCTGGGACTGCTGGCAACAAGAGGGATGGGAGGGGCAATGATCAGTGGGTGAAGGCGGAGGCAGCCTCCTCCGACCCTCATAAACCAGCCTGCCTCAGAAACAGCCCCAGAGCCAGTCCCAGAGCCACCCTGGAGGGGTGACTAGCTGAGGGGTTGTGGGAGAGGGCCAGATCCTGCCTGGCCGCCCCGCAGATGGCACTGGGTCCAGCGCTCCTCCAGCCTCAGCCACTGTGGCTTTAATCAAAAGAACAATCTGTTTGCCTCTGAATCAGACCCAGATTCCTTTCCCCACAATGTTCCTGAGGCCTCCAGGGACCCAGGCAGTCCATCCCGGCCCCATCCCAGGCCCCAGAGTCCAGGCTGTGCCTCCCCTCCCGCTCCTGTCCTATCTGCTTCAGCTGGGAGGGGGAGGGAGGGGTTCAGCCACGGGACCAGCCGGGCCCTGCCTTCCAGAGCTCCTGGAGCGGCCTGTCCCCGACACCGGGACCCACCTGCAGAGGGCTTACCGCCCAGGAGAGCAGAACAAGGTGACCTGCTCCACTGGGGGTCTCTGAGACCCCCACCCCCAGGGACACTCCCGGAAAAAGCCCCCAACCCAGCATATATTAACCACTATTAATCACAGTCCTGGCTGTGGCTGTCACCTTTTATCCTCAGGACAACCTGGAGAGGTAGGCAGTGGCTACCTCCACTTTACAGATGAAGATACTGAGGCTCAGGAGGTGGCCTGACTGCTCCAGGTCTCACGCTTAGTGAACGGCCGCAGAACCCTGGTCGGTTTGATGCAGGACCCCAGCGGATCCCAGAGCCAAACCAGGGTGTAAGCGCAGGGTAGGTGGGGTCGCCAACGCAGGAGAGCGACGGAA